GACACTGCCCCCTATCTCTATTTTCGCTTTTTTTCCATTCTCTCTCTGCAGGATGGAAATCTTAACCAATGAGAAAGTCAGAGACTAACGCATATTAAGACTTTTTTTTTCCTTTTCATGGATTGGGGCAAAAAGAACACACTGCAGGGAGGAAAGGCAAAGTTTGATGTTCTTTGTTTACATTGGGGCCAAATTGTTGCATACCTTACCATCAAACATTTACAAGAAAAAAACAGAATCTTTTTGACGTAACACAGCTAATAGTCAGATGATAGTCAGGACTTTTATGTGTTTTTCAGCTGCTGGGATGTCGGCTTTCAGGAAAACCAAGTGTGTATAAGAAATGGACTTGTAATGACCCATGACCAGTGATGTCATCAGTGTCTGATCTCAGTGATGTCACAGCCCCGCCACCTCCTCTGTTGTTCTCCTGTGTTATTCAGACAGACGAGGTTCAGTTCTTTGCTCTGTCGACTCGTCCTCCGTGGTGTGCTCTTCAGGCGCCGTCTCTCCTCCCTCCTGTGTGCTGTTTCCTAAGACCAGTGAGGACGGCGATGGTCCGGGACTCTTCTTGGTGTGGAGCATAGGACTCACTCGGGGAACTACTGGTTGGGACTCAGTTGGAGCCGGGATTGTGGCGGACACAGAAGAACTCTGGAGCAGTTTTTCAGGCGTTTGATCTGATGCTGGGAAAGTGCTAGACTTTTCCATGGTTTGTGTTGGACTCATGAGTTGACACCGTGACAGTGGAGCGTCTCCTTCTTCCCTTGTTTTAGCTGTTGTTCCACTGCATTTCCCTGTCTTTATCTCCCCCTGGTGGACAGAGCAGTCCTTGTCTTTAGCAGCTCCAGTGTCACTGACTGAGTGGGTGAAAAGAAAACACGAGTGAACAAGACTGAATTAGTATTAGGACGTTTATGCACCAGGAAGACGAGGTTCAGACCAGTGTCAATCATAACGGAGAACAGGAGTGTGAATCTGGAGATAGGGTACATGTCATGATATGGGGGCAGCTATATACTTTAATATACTGCAGTATTATTTTGAAATTGTAGTCCCAGTGTGATCCTAGTCTCAGACTCTGTTCCATCTGAACATCAGTTCCTAACTCTGGAACAGAGGGATCTACATTTGGAATCACTAGAGAAGAAAGAAAAGAACAAGAACATGAACCAACACCAGGAATATTGGACTTTTAACTGTTAACTTTTAACTAAAACACTGCAATATCTCAACATCATTCATCACATTTTCTCACACTCCTACTGATGAACTACTTACTCACCTTCCTGAGCTTTTTGCACGTCCTCCCCACTACATGGATGTTCAGTGCAGGGGGGCAGGTCCACTCTGTTTCCCTTGAAACGAATAGGTGACCTCTGTAAGACAG